TTGACTCAAGTTGATAAGGTTCTGATGTCAATGGCAGTTTTAAGAGAACATCTTTTGAAGAAAGAAGTTCTACAAGAGCTTCATGACACCTGTTTGAAATGCTCATCCAATTTGGATGAGTGTGAAAAATTAAAAAATTTCCATTCATAAGTTGATGGACGAAGATGTTGTTAGAGTTGAGAATGTCATCCATGAGGGTGACGTTGCTATCCTGGAGATTTTGTACTATCCGACCAATGTTCATAGGAATAATTCAAGAGTTCAATTGGTTATACAATTTCCAACACCCCCTACGCCAGATCAAAGTCTGGTTGCTCCTCTGATAATCCAAGCACCGGCACCTCGAAATCTAATTCCTGTTCCAATGGCTAATAATAAGGAAGTGCCATGGGAGTATAATGATATTTACATCAGTGGAAAGAAAGTTGTTTATCCTCCGATTGAGAATAAGGACATAACCGTCATTGCTGGAACTAGAAGAATAACCCGAAGCGGAAGAGTCTTCACTCCTACTCTGCCTCCTCCTAAAGAAGTTATTGAAGAGATTCCTGTGAAATATAAGGGGAAGCAGGCAGTCAATGACTCTCCTGGGGCGTCTTTTTAACAACAAGTAGAACATCTAATCAGGATAATCAAGAAGAGTGATTTCAAGGTGGTTGACCTACTGAATCATACGTCTGCAAAGATATCAATCTTATCCCTCCTCCGGTACTCGGAATCACATCGAATAACCTTGATGAGAACTCTGCATGGTTCCCATGTGAATCCTAAAACTTCAGCGGCCTAATTTGAAGGGGTTGTTACAAATATTTCCGCGGGGAACAGTCTGGGTTTCAGTGATGATGAGCTTCCTCCTGAGGGTCAAGCTCGTAATAAAGCATTGCATATCTCCATCAGATTTTTGGACACTATGATGTCTCGAGTCCTGGTAGACACCGGGTCTTCTTTAAATGTGATGCCTAAACATACTCTATTCAAGCTGAACATGGACGGGGTTATGATGAAACCTAGCACGCTAATAGTTAAATATTTTGATGGGTCAAGAAGATCTATGGAGGGAGAAGTTGACCTACCCATTAAGATTTGTCCCCACGTGTTCTACTTGTCATTCTATATCATGGATATTCGTCCATCTTATACTTGCCTTCTGGGACGCCCGTGGATCCATATGGCAGGGGCTGTAACATTAACTTTGCACCAACATTTGAAATTCATCGTTAAATACAAGGTTATCGTCATTGGTGGAAAGGAAGACGCCGTGATCAACAATGTTACTTCCTTCCGCTATGTTGAAGTGGACGGAGAAATACATGAAACCCCTTTCCAAGCCTGGGAAATCATTTATGTTGACAGAGTCCCCACCGTGCTAGAAACTAAAAAGAATTCTGGAGTTCCAATGGCTTCCTTGAAGGATACCAAAGCCTTTGTGGAGTCAGGAAATCCCAATGAAGACCGGGGTAAAGTGATCAAAGTGCATGGAAAGCAGGATAAGTCTGGTCTTGTATTCGGGTCCTCTTCTTTAGATTTTGTTGGTTCTGGTCCAACCATGCTCAAAAGGAAACAGATTCCCCCACTTTCAGAGGTGTTAGTACTAGTCCATATGTTCAAGAACAAATCCATGTAGTGGATAGAGATGATGAAGATGGTGAAGATATATCTCAGTATATTTACTAGATTGCGCCTGATCAAGAACTCGACAATTGGACTTCTACTGATATTCTCGAAGTGGTTTTCTTTGACATGTAATGTTCTTGTTTTAAATAAGTCACATGCTTTGCCAAAGACATGTTGACAACTTGTGAAAAGAACCCCCTCGTGTTTCCATGTTTGTTTAATATTGAATAAAATTGCATTTTCGCATACAATTTTTTGCTCTCTGTCTTTTCTTTTCTTTTTGTAAAATAAAAAATGGAAATTTAAAACAACCAGCTAAACAAATCATCGAGATGAAATCAATGAAGTCACCATCGAACGTTTTTTATCCCACAGGAAGGAAAAGGTAAACATCGAGTAAACTTGAGAAGGGTGAAATCACGATCAAATGACCGAGAGATCGGGTAAGGGAGTCTGTTACGCAAGGGGAAGGTATTAGCACCCCACACGTCTGTAGTACTCTACGGTATCCACTCATGTTGTTCTAATCAAAGGGCGTGTAAGAATCTATATCTCAGTTGTACAAGGAATGCATGCAAAAGAAAATAGAAAATAATGTAGGGAAAATAAAAGTTATGCTCGCTTGGGCCCTACCCCAATGCCTACGTATCCCTTTTAAGGAATCAGAGCAGCCGTAGTTCGGCTCACATATTTTGGTTTTTTTGTGTTTTTTAATGAACCATGATAAATTCAATCATTCCACGGCTGCTCGACCATTGGAGACTCACACATCTATAGTGGAAAGGAAATAACATGTTCTCACCTAAACATGTGCTTTCAAATGAAAAAGAGCCCGAAGGCGGATGATGTTACATTTGTGACTCTTAGTAAGTAGACATGATGTAACCCGACCCTTGGGGTATTACGCGTCATATTGAATAAAGTGGAAGTAACATATCCTTTTTAAATTTCCGATGAAAGGCCCGAAGGTGGAAAAAATTTGTATTGGTTGATATTTTTTACCTTGAAGAAGGATTTGAAAATTTTTAGTTGTTTTATGTATTTTTTAAGAAAAGGGTTTTAGTCTTAAATGCAAGGATGCAGAAGAAAGAAAAATATCTAAGGGATAATATCTAGTTCTATCTCTAATGTTATCATACAATGATTAACCCTAAGGCTAAGACTTAAAGGGAAATCTCTACCCTATGTTAGCATGCATGGATTACAATCCTAATGTCTAGCTCACAAGCTACTCTAATCGAGAGATCCTAAGGGAAGCATACAAATCCTATTCTAAGGGAACATGGTATAACAAACAAATAAGAAAACAAGTGTTTTGGCAAAAACACACAAACATGAGTAACACATACCGACTCGAAGGGATGGGGGAAACAAGAGAAATTCTTTAGCTAAGGGGAGGTATCACCCAAAGCAAATAAGCGGGACACAAATGAAATAAATGAATGCGACATCCAAAGCGACTGAACACCTAAACAAGATATAAAAGATCTAGGTAGGCGACAGAAGACAATATGAACGATCATGGAGTGTCAGCATCGGCCAACGCAAACTCTTGACAAAGCGTGGGAGTTTGATTGCAAAACCCTTCCCCACTTGACGGACTCGATACACATGATCTGCATGACTCCAAAGCATCGATGTATAACGTGAGCTAAAGATGACACGGACTAGAATATGCGGGGGTCGATTACGGACCCTCCCCGCTTGGCTCCTTTTGAGGACTTATCATCTATAATATAATACGGGAACTAATGTAAACACACATGCATAATACCAACTTCAAAGGTAGGATTTTGAACAACCATAATTAGCATACAAAAAGCAGTGCCTGGTATAGGACTTTAAACAACGACTTCGAGCGCACGCTGTTTATTTCCTGCTTCCTACTTCACATGATTTCTAGAAAGCGATAAATGCCCCTACTATACATGATCTCTAGAAAGCGATAAATTCCCTTACCATACATTATCTCTAGAAAGAGATAAATGCTAAAATGAGGTATATGAGAGAAAATACCAAACGAAGAAAAGTTCGTAGCGTGGAAAGCAAAGTAGAGAAACCCGAAAAACTTAGAGTAGGCTTCACCAAGCAAAGAAAAGAGTCAGAAGTCATATGCTCGGATAAGTGTCAAAGCATCATCGATGTGAAAATAAATCACCATCGAAAACTCAAGCATATCCATATATTCTGTATAAGACTCAAATCTCAACAAGAAAAAGTAAGTCACAAATCTCACTTAATCGGATAATCATGATTTAATTCCCAATGTCTCCTAAAATATAACATTTTTTATTAATGTTTTTATTACATCAATATTTTATATTTAAAAAAATTATGAAAAAAAAGAAATTGACTAAAATCTAATAAAAAAGAGTCAAGGAGGGTGAACAAGGATCTCAGGGTTCAGTATAGCAGATGCTAAGCCCAAGCTGCATAGTTCAATAAGCCTTTTTTGTCATAAGCCAACAAGTTAAAAAAAAACAATGATACATTGGGCTTTAGAGGGAGATGGTTTCGGTCCAGTCCACATATATTGAGACCCATACATCTAGATTTTGTATATCTCAGATTTTTTTTAAAGAAAATAACACATAAAAAAATAGAAAAGGATTAAGGTTGAGCTTTGGGGTGACTATTGAACTTTTGAAGCCAACACACTGCAAAACACAACGGAGCGATCCGACCCCTTCCTTCTTTGTCAACGATTTCCACCTCTCTCATCATTCTACGCCACCACGAGTGTCCACGATTCATCTCCGAGGAAATCTGTCTGTTTCAATCTTATCTTCATGCATTGTTCCACCTTCATACCTCGTTTTCGACCTCACTCGTCTCACAGATACCGATTGATAGCACAAAGGAACAACACATTATGTGATAATAAAAGCTTCAAAGTTTACCTGTCGGAGAATCCTCTGACACTTCTTCCAGAAGATAAACATGGTGAAAGATCTGGATAAGTCAATTATGATACGTTCAATTTCATGCTTCTCTTCTTCGTCTTGATTTTTATTTTGAGTATTTGTATCAGAGCTTGAATCTGGTGAGTCTTTATTCACTCTTTTCTTGATTCTGCTTCTTCCTTCTCATGTTTATCCGTCTGCAACTCTTCTATCTACTTCTCTAAAATCTCAGTGTATTCATTATTGCAGATTGAAGAAGTTGTTGATGCAGCGCGGATTGATATTGAATGTTGTAGGTTTTTGATTGGATACTTTGAAGATTGGAGAGGATGCTGCTTGAAGATGATGGTTGCTGATAGATACGTGATTATGGAGGTTACGCAGAAGGCGATGAAGAAGGCGAATATTGAAGCAGGTTGATGGAAGTGTAACTGCTTAGAGATAATGTAGAGAAAGAGAGGAGTTTTTAAGAGTTTCTATGTGATGGTTCTTCAGAGATTGAAGAATGAATATGAGAAGAGAAGAAGAGAATCTTGTGATTCTTCTGCCATTTCCAGAGTGAAGAATGAATGTGAGAGGAGAAGAAGAGAATCTTGTGATTCTTCTGCCATTTCCAGAGTAAAGAATGAATGTGAGAGGAGCAGAGAGAAGGTTAAAGATTCTTCTGCAGAATTCAGGAGTCCAAAAAATCTAGTGAGTTTTTTGTTTCTATTTCTGTTAGATCTAAAAGTTGGTTATATCTAAACGAATTTGAGTCGTGGATTGAGTAGAGGTTATCATGAAATAGATGGTGGGGTTGAGAGTTAATTTTTGCTGTTAGTTCAGTTAGGGTGGTTTTTTGAAGTTGGTTAGAACTGTTAGGAATTATGTTATGGTTCGTTAGGAGTGAAAGTTAGTTGGTTCTATTATCTTCTGATTTTCTGTTTCTATTTTGTTGTTGGGCTAGAGCTGACATGGTTTTGAAATTATTTTGAGGGAGTATCAGATTATAAAATTAGTTAGAAGGTGGTTGGAAATTTGTTAATCCTAGGTCGTTAGCCATGAGTGGTTAATAGGTTAATTAGACAGTTAAAAACCGATTTTAGAATTATTTAGGTGGTTAAAGGTTTCAATAATTGAGATTGAATCTGCTTGCTCCGCATCTAACTTGTATTTTCATCGATGAACCTTCCAAATCTGGACTATGATAACTTATTTTGAGCTGCTTCTGAACTTTTTTTGAACTGTTTCTGAACTGCACCTTTATTCCTAAATTGTACCTTCGTTTTTTCTATTTTCTGCTGAACTTATTTTCTGATTTTTTTGAACTGTTGCAGGTTATAGCATAGTCTCGGGTGCCATTTCTAGCAGGAAGCAACATATTTTCCTTGAGTCTTCGTATCGGTTTGGAGAGGAATTAACAAAGATCCTGGACTTATTTTAAAGTTTATGATTGGCATGCTTGTAGAAGCTTGGTTTAAGACTTAGAAAAATCCACATGTATGTTGTAATGATATTTCAATTTATAATGGTTTGTAAACCAAGCATCTTGAACTATTCTTGAAAGCTTTTCCTCTTTTTCTAATTGAATTCAAATTCTCCCTTTTGAATGAAATTCTTCATTTATCAAAATAAACCCAAAATTGTAGCTTGTATGGTAAGAACACAATGGGTTTGTAGCTTCCATAAAAATGAACTGGATTCCATATTTTGTAACAAAGCAACCTTGTATTTAAGACCAAAGTTCTTTGAACAACAATGCATCTTGCATTTGCCTTTGTAATGACACCTTGGATTCCAATTTTGTATGCTTGACATTTTAAGCAAAATGGTCCTTTGACACCTTGAACATAACTAGAGTTTATGGAATCACTTGAATCAATTTCAAATCCAAATCAGCTTGCACATTCTAACCCCAAAATCCATATCAAATAATAACAACGCCTCACACACAATATGAGTCCCCAAAATTGCCTTTGTATCATGATTTATACTTTACAAATAAACCAATAAGATATTTTAACTTGACAAAATCTCTCTTCCTTTGGGGTTCTTTATCAAAACAAAACCCATGAAGAATCTTATAACAAATATCCAGTAACTATGTTGAGATGCAAACTTAGTTTTCTTGCCATGGATGTAATATTTAATGAAAAATCAGCTTAACACTAAAGCTATAATCCACAGTCTTCCCAGTTGGAATCATTGATGAGAAAGAAATAAGTCTTTAACAGTCACAATCACAAACCCTAATTCCTCAGACCAAAGTTGATGAAGGACCAAAACCTCAAAGCCAGAGAAACCTTAATTTTCCAATTCAATGCTCAGAGGAGAAACAGACGAATCAGTATTATTTGATATGTGCATCTCAAAACACCATGAGAACCCTAGCTCACACAACCAATGAATTTTGAACCTCTGACACTTGATTGAATGAAAATGCTTGCTATGTGAAGGTGGATGCAGAATCCATAGCTAGATAAAGGAATAATTAGGAGGTCAAATTTTGGGGTACAACAGCTACCCCTATTCAATCTTCTTTAGCCAGAGAGTGACATTGGCAGACGCCTTTCGAGCGATAAGGTGGAAGGAGATTGAATACAAAAAAGAACTCAAAAATTTGCACTTTGAATTGAGACGACGTATATTAACACAAGGTAAACTTTTGATGGCCTCTTGGCTTAGACTAAAGAATGAGTTTGTAGATGATAAATAGGGATCAAAAATCGTGGAAGTTGATCCAAAAACGCTAGTAATGACTAGACTTCACATAATTCCAGAATGCTATATTCTGAGACAAAATACGCGAGTAACAACTCGACTCTATAGAATGCCAAAACGCTGCATTTTGAGGAAGAAAAGTAACAACCAAAAGATGCTAGTGACAACTAGACTTCACAAAATGCTAGAACGTTGCATTCCGAGAAAGAGATAAAGACCGAAAGGTGCTAGTAACAACTAGACTTTACGGAATGCCAGAACGCTGAATTCTGAGAAAGACGGTAAAGATCAAAAGATGCTAGTAACAACTAGACTTCACGGGATGCCAGAACGCTGCATTTCGAGGAAGATAAGGACCAAAAGATGATAGTCACGACTAGACTCCACAGAATTCCAGAACGCTACATTCTGAGAAAGAATAACGACATTACAAGGGAAGACTAGTAATGGCTAGACTTCTCAAAATACTAGTAACAACTGGTCTCGATCAAATTGGAATAATGCCTTTCTGAACCAAAACCCATTGGCACATTAATCACAACACTGGGGGACCGAGTAAAGGTGCGAGTAATGACTCGACCTTATGAATACATCAAAAATGTGTCACAACAGGATCACAAACCAAAACCAAAAGTAACGACTCCTGCTTTAAAAGGAACTAGTAACGACTAGACCTTAATGAGTACTCCTTAGGATACCAATAACAATTGGATCCATGAAACAAGGTGAACACCTGATGATCTCGAACCGGAAGAAGCAGTAACGATTGAACCTAACCAAGGGATTACAGAGACAAAACGAGATAAGTATTAATCTTCCTCGGTAGAACCTAGTAATGACTAGATTCAACCAATACAAAATAAATGCCAGAACGCTGCACTCAAAAATCAGATGACAAGTCACGAACTTGACCTTGGTAGGAATGGTATCTACCAACCCACAATGTTGTGCTAGGGCGAAGCTAACGGCAAGAAGGGAAATGAGTAACACCTCGATAGGGGAGGACTAGTAACAACTAGACTCCTTAGAATACCAGAACGCTGTATTCTGGAAAAGATATGCGAGTAACAACTCGACAAGGGATAAATATACGCATGTCTGGTCAGAGTTAAACACACAAAAGAAAGAGACCGATTGAAGTAGACTCTTAACAAAGGATTCCTGCACATAGGAGAATCAACAAGGAGGCTAAGTCGAAGGTAGACTCATAAGAAATTAACGCCGACCAAAGGCACATTCCACAACAAATGGAAGAATACCCAAAGGTAGACCCTTAATCAAGATAATAGAGATATATGTCAGGCCAGAGTTAGACATATACAAGGAAGACTCTGACCGAAGAAGGCTCTAACGAAGAAACACAAATCAAAGGTGGACTTACTGGGGATACAAATAGACGTTGATTCTGAATAGAATGTCGATCGAAGGAAAACTTACAAAGAAAAGAGACCAGCCGAAGAGGACTCCTAACAAATGATACCAGCCAAAGGTAGATTTAAGGAAAAGAACATCACTCAAAGGAGAACTCACAGGGGATAAGGATATGCATGTCTGGTCAGAGTTAGGCACACAAAAGCGAAATTGGGCATCAAGAAACAAATGTTCAAAATTGATATCAAACATAAGAAAGAGACTAACCGAAGACATACCCAAGAAGAAAGGATGAATTCGCTTAACCAAGAATGCCAGATAACTAGACTCTGAGTAGACACTGAAGGACTCTTAATAGAGAAGGTTAGCTAATCTAACAGAAGGAAAACTCGACTAGCGCGGATACCGAAGGCAAGGAACTGACTAAGCAAGGCCTTTAAAGAGCATTGATCGAAGGTGAAATCTACAAGAGAAAGAAACCAACCGACACGGACTCTAACAAAGATTGCCAAAACACCTTGGGTTTTTGACAGGTTGTAAATATGCAAGAACTATAATATTCCTCAGGCCAGAAGTGGGGTGTAATTCTTCAAGAGTGTAAATTATCTGAATTACCACACACCAAGCATGGATACTCAAATACTCGAGAAATAAGAAAGGTTATACACTGACTCTTAGTTTCACTCAAAAGGCAAGGCAAACACGGGTAAAAATAACCAAGGGCTTGCAAAGGCAAGAGAAAAACCATGACTCACTAGGGAAATGGAAAGCACCAAAGACCCGACTAGTGGTAAATCAAAACAAACTCTGTTGGGGAAACAGAATAAGATCTACCCTGAGCTTGTTATGGAGATAATTCAAATCTGAGCGCATAACAATTCGGTTACCACAGGTGAACATAAGTGGCTTAAACCTTGATGCATGTTTGAATTCTTTATAGCGTAATGCTCCATATAATGGAAATGCTATGCATTTTGGTAGATGCAATGTAATGATGAATGTTTAGCAATGCATTGAGGAAAACACATCAATAATTGGCTGCTGAGAAGGCCTAAACTTCCCAACAATTATATTTACCCATCTGAACTTCTATAGAGAAGAATCCCTCTAAACTTCAATGGGGAAACGAGATTCAGAACCACCAACCTCTGAAGATTGATATCACTGGGGAAGTAACTTCCTGGGGAAACAACTACAAAAATAAATTACAGTCCATAGAAAATCTTGACCTCTGACCCACCTCTTAATTTCCTGGGGAAAAGATCAAACATCTCTTAACTTCCTGGGGAAAGGATCCAACATTTATTTCCGGGGATAAAGAGAACCTTGTTGGAAACTATGACCTTCTGATGTAAATCCTCAATAAAAGTGACTTCAACTAGGGAATCATAGAAATTCTTAAGTAAAAGAATTATACCCAGACTACACCGGGTTAATACCGTTGGGGGTAACAATCTTTACTTAGGAAAAAGGATGGCATCTTTGAACTATAAGCTTGAGGTTCAGAACTCCACTGAGGAAATATTTCAGCAATACCCTATCACTGAGGGTCAAAGGGCCCTAAATGATATTCGTCTATGCACGCTGCTCTAGAAAAATAGGAGACTTGCCCCACCGGGACATAATAAGCATGTTGGTCAAACATCTCCTTAAGAAAACCCGACAGGGGCAACCTTACCTTGGGAGAAAAGATATGAACTTCATGGGGATGATGAATGACAACCTTACTAGGGAGATAAATACAAACCACAAAGATGCAGTTGTAGCAGTATAAATGTTGAGACTAAGACATGGGATTGACTTGGCTCGCACAGATCAAATTAAAAATCACCACTGCGCTTTATTGTTTCCAAAGGAATGGGAAAAGAGCGAATAACCCAAAAAGAGGGGGAGAGAATCTAAGTTTGGGGGTTGGTTATGCAAAGGGAAGGTATTAGCACCTTAAACATCTACATTACTCTGCAGGAACCTCTTCGAAAATCTGTGATTTTGGCTATAAATGTTGTATATAAAAAAATAGATGGTATGGATGAGAAGAGAAGTATTTTTTATGATTTTTGCACCCGCCGCGGTTGCGAACCTTTAGTGCCTACGTACCATCTTTCATGCAATAGAGGATCAGGGTACACGTAGTTCACCTTTCAAAATTTTAAAACACATGTACATTGGTTAATTTTAAGAGACGAGACATCATCGTCTTATCTAAGTGGAAGAACATGCTTACTACCCACTTTAACGCCCGTAATTTAATTAATTA